CTGGCCTGCTCGAGCTACGCCACCTGTGTCGCGCCTATTTCCGCCAGGGAGCTCGACTTCTTCTGCGTCGGCATGCTCTCGGAGGTGCAGCGCGTGCGCCGCCGCGACCGCTTCTCCGTGCGCGCGCGCGGGGCGGTGGCCCCCTGCCTGGCGATGCAACCTCCTGGCGCCGTAGTCTTGCGTCTGTGCAGTCCGCGGCCTTACCCTGCCGTGGCCCTGATCGGGCCCCAGCTGCCTCCGCCCGATTGGCAGGGCGTGCGTGCGGATCTCCACGCGGTGGGCGCCGCGGCGGGGCTTGACGCCGCCTGCGGCCGCGTCCTCGACCATTGCGAGGCCGAGCTGGCGCAGCACTTCGGCCTGGTGGAAGGCCGCTAGGCGGACCGCTACCGCGGCAGGAGCGAGGGCGCCTGCCTGGCCCAGGTGCAGCCCCACCGGCAGCGCGCGCGGTGGCAGCCCACGCCTCGGGCCGATCCCTCCGAGCAGCATTGGAGCTGGCTCGCCGAGCGGGTGCGCGAGTGGCGAGTTCTCCGACAGGCTGGCAGCAATGCCCAAACTCGCCGCCTGCAGGCGCGGCTGTTGCGCTTCAAGCCGCGCGTCGAGGGGGCAGGCGCGCAACTTTGGCAGGCGTGGCGCCGCTTGGTCCGCAGGCTGCAGTTCCTCAAGCAGGTCGTCGTCGACGAGCTCCTGCAGGACCTCCAGCGCGCTGCCAGTGCTGCTGAGGGCCGCGCGTCGCATCGCGGGCGCGCGGGGCGACGGTGGGCGAGGGCGTGCGCAAGGCCTTCCGCTGGATTCGCGAGGCCGCGCCATGGGCTGCAGACCGCTGGCGACCTGCTGGGCTGCAGCCCGCGTAGCTGGTGGCCGAGGCAGCCGCGAGGCCGTGGCACGCGCCCTGAAACGACGGCGCGGGGAGTGGAGCTGTTGCCTGGCCTGCGGAGCTGGGGCCCCTGCCCACCCTGCCGACCGTGGGCGAGCTTCGCCAGATTGACCGCGCGTTCCCGCACGTCGCAGGCCTGGGATGCGGTGCCTTCCACCCGCGGCGCATCACTGTGCTGATCGACGCTGCGCTCGAGGTCTGCATCGAGCTCTGGCGGCGGTTGCTGCAGCTCGGCCGTGTGCCTCGCGCGTTGGCTGCGATGCAGATGGTGCTGCCCCCCCGAGCCCGAGGGCGGCGTTCGCGCTATCGGCATGTTTCCAGGCATCCTGCGGCCTTTCACGAGATGGGCCAGGAACACCGCGGGTGCTCAGTGGGCCTCGCTCCACCACCGCATGTATATCGACGGCGCGGCTGGCCAGAGCTGTGAGGCCTGTGTGCGGGTCCAGGCGGCGACTGCGGAGGTGGCGACCCACCGCGGCCAGGCTGCCTGCGCGGCACCCATGGACCTCGCGAAGGCGTGCGAGCACATCCCCCTGGGCGCTGCTGGTGACTCGCGCCGAGGAACAGGGCTTCACCATGGTCATGATGCGACTGCTGATCCAGCTCTATACGGGATGCTGCGCGTAGTATGCTACCAGGGCGTGGCGACGTTGGCTTGCGAGCCCCAGCACGGCGTGGTGGCGGGATGCAGCTTCGCCGACCTGTGCGTGCGGCTGTTCCTGCTGCCCAGGCTCGACGCGGTCGTTGCGCTTCGCACGGTGCAGGTGGGCAACGTCGTGAATGATATCCAGCTCGCCCAAGCAGGCATGGCCAGGCGAGTGGCCGCGCAGGTGGGCCTCGCCTACGAGCAGTTGCGCCGCGGGTTGCTGGAAGACAGTCTGGCGGTCAACGATGGCAAAGGCGTGGTGCTGGCCAACTCCGCCGAGTGCAGCCGCGAGGTCATGCGGCGCTGCGCGGCGCCGCGCGGGCGGCACGAAACCTGGGATGGACTACGCCTGCGGCATGCGGCCTGGCGCGGCCACGAGCCAAGCGTTTGGCCACCGCGGTGCGGCGCTCGGCCCGCATTCGAGTGATCAGGGCTGCGCGAGGCGAATCACAGCAGCTCGTCTCGCTCGGATTGGCGCCCGCTGGCACTTGTGGGGACGGCGTGACTGGGGGGGCTTGGAGTGGGGTCGAACCAATGCGTCGAGCAGCGCGCTCTGCTTTGTTCGTTCGCGCTGCTCGTCGCTCTCTCACGTTGGACCTCCACCTCGCCCCTTCGGCGCCGAGGTCGGTCGGCCCTGCGTGTGCATGCGCCGTGAGCCTGATTTATATGCTCGCCCAGGCTGTCTGGGAGTCTTGGATTTCTCGGGGGTGGATGGTCCGACTTCTGTTTGCCACCGACGCGGCCTTGGAGCGCGCGCCAGCGCAGCGCGCGAGTGGGCCGCGGTTCGAGGAGCGATTTCTGCCGCCCTAGCCAGTTGTAGGCGCATGGGTTGCATGCGTGGCCCTGGGGCGTGCATGATAGTAACCGGCGAGGGCGTCCAGGTTGATCTCGCCGCCGCCCGCCTTCGCTCGATCCTCCACCTCGCGCGCCTGGGCGCCGAGGATTGGCTCCTGGAGCGAGCGCAACGGTGCGCGGAGTACATGTCTGTCCTTCCCGCTCGACCTTGCCTCGCTTCTCTCCGCCGCCTTTGCGCCGGGGCCGTGGGTCCCGAGTGGGCCTCGAGGCGCTGGGGCACTCTGCGTGTGATTTTTCTTTTGCGCGGGGTTTCTAGAGTTCCGACCGCTTTATTCCGCGTCGCCCCCCCCCCCCCCCCCCCCCCCGCGCCCCCAGCGTCAGATTGGGGCCCCCGCGCTGTGGCTCTCTGCCCCGAGCCCCTCCGCGTCCCCAGCGCCCCAGCGGGGGCCCCGCCCGCTGTCCCCTCCGCCGCGAACGCTTTATTCCGCGTCGCGCGCGCCCCTCCCCCCACCCCGCGCTCCCGGCGCCAGAGTAGGACCCCCGCGCCGCGGCTCTCTGCCCCGAGCCCCCCCGCGCCCCCAGCGCCCCAGCGGGGGCCCCGCCCACTGTCCCTTCCGCCACGAACGCTTTATTCCGCGTCGCACCCCGAGCTACTCGCGTCCCGGGCGCCCCAATGGAAGCCCCGCCCATTGCCCCCTCCGCCGCGAACGTTTCATTCCGCGTCGCGACGCGCGCCGCCGCCCCCACCTTCCCGCCCGCGTCCCCAGCGCCCCAGTGGGACCTCCCTCCCCCCCGCGTCCTCAGCACCCCAGTGGGCGCCCGCCCCGTGGGTTTCTGCTCGATTATTTTATTCCGCGTCGCGACGCACACCCGCCCCCCCCCTCTCCCCCCCCGCGCTCCCTGCGCCCAGCGCCCCAGTGGGACCCCCGTCCCGTGCCTCTCCGCCCCGACCACTGCATTCCGCGTCGCGATGCACACTACCTCACCCCCTCCTTTCCGCGCCCCCAGCGCCCCAGTGGGGCCTCCGCCCCGTGCCCCCCTCCGCTCCGAGCACTTGATTCCGCGTCGCGACGCGCGCCGCCTCCCCCCTCTCCCCACCTGTGATTTGGGCCCCGTTGCTGGGCCCGAGCGGCGATGTCTTGCCCCCTCTTCCCCTCTCCTCCTCCACCTCCTCCTCCTCTTCCTTCCTTTTTGTGCAGGAGCCATGGCACATGTGCCACTCGTTTCGAATTGTGTTTGGGACCAGGCTCGGAAGCGTCGTCACGGCCTTGGTGGCTAGCCCGACCTGCCCATTGTGTGAAGGCGAGTCTTGTCCAGGCACCTTCTCTGCGTGGGTCACTGGAGAAAGTTCCGCGACGTGGGCCTGTGTTCGTGGGTGCGACCTCCCCCCCGCTCTGCGGGCTGACCTCGGGGTGCACTCGGCCTGGGCCCTCTGGAGGCGCGCGCTGGCCCCTTATCCTCGGCCCTCTGCCCCTGGCCCCGCGACCTCTCTCCTTGTCAAGTGGCTCGAGCGACCTGGCGCTGGTAGCATTGAAGGCGACGCCTTCGGCGACGGCCCCTGCGCTTCGCCTGCGCAGGGCGACCCCCGACTCAGTGGAGCGGGGTGGCCTGTTGTCCAGGTGGGCGCCAATGGCTGCCTGGTGTCTTCGCTGTGTGGCCTGCCATGGGGCCTTTTTGCTTCCGTTCGGATTGCGCCTGGGCGGTCTCGAGCTTTGCGCGCGGGCGCGCCGGGGCGTCGGGCGCGCAGTGCGAGGCCGCGGACCTGTGGTCTTGCATGTGGGATCGGGTGGATGACCTGGGGGGTGGGGTCACCGTGACTAAGGTCAAGGGCCGCGCTCGCCGCTGTCACGACGACGCGGTCGAGCGCGGCATGATCAAGCGGTGGGGCAACCATTTTACCGACCGCGGCGCTCGTGAGGCGCCGCCCTCCACCCCGCCGACGATGTGGCGGTGGAGAGCGTGAGGCGTTCCTTTCGCCTGGTGACCTTCGTCGCCAAGTTTCTGGTTCGTGCGCTGCGTTCTACGGGCCCGAGCCAGCAGGATGCGCCGCGACACGGCTACCCGCGCCGCGCGCAGGAACGAGGCCGTGTCCCCATGCTGACGGCAGGCACGGTGTTGCCCGAAGGCACGCACGAGCCCGCGCCGTGCGGCGCGGGTTTTCGTTGCGTCCGCTGCTGCCGCGTCGCCAGGGCGCCGCGCTTGCGCGCCAGCGGTGTGTAAGCCAGGCGGCGGCCACCGCGTTTGGAGCGTGGGCCCCTTCTTCTTCTGCGCTAGGTGCGGGGCGCACTCGAGCGAGAACGCCCAGCTCCTCGCGCAGCCTTGCCTGGGGGCCGCCCCCCCGCAGACGCGGCCCCGTCTGGGGCGCCTGTGGGCTAGACAGCTCCCCAGCACTGGCCTGCCCTTACCCGTGGACAGCGGCCACGGTGGGCCACGGCCGTTCGCGGACTTCGTACTCGACGCCTTGGTCGGAGACCTGGTCGTCGAGGTCGATACCGCCGACGGCGCGTAGGCCTCCTGGCTGCGCCTGTTGACACTCCCCTGATGAGGAGGTGCTCGGGTTCTTTTCCTTTCAGTCGGGCCCGTGCCCGAGTCGCCTAGCTGTGTCCCTGGCGCGCTTTTGCGCCGCTCCTGCTGAAAAACTCCTCCTCCTCCACATTCTTCCACCCCTCCTCGCGCCGCCGCCAGGCCCCGTTCGACTGCCAGGTCGGCCTGGGGCACACGGACACTTGGCCGGCGGACAAGCTGGACCGGCGCGTGTGGGCGGAGGGGCGGCTCGCCAGTGAGCCAAAGAGCCTCTCGGAGGCGTTCGGGCGGCCACAGGTCTTCGGAGGCTCTCGGAGGTTCCTTGAGCAGCTTATCCAGAAGCGGTCTATACTCAGAGATCCGATGCCCCGAAATAGTTGGAGCGGCCGATTTTCTGTCGTTTCCGGCCTCCGGGTGCCGCCATCGGGCTGCGGGACCGTCGAAACGTTTCAGGATGAGCCGGCCCCAGGGAAGTGGTCTAGATTTTTTCCCTGGGGTCTGCGCATCCGCAGATTTGGAGCGCTAGATGCCTGGGCAGCTGGCTCGTTGGAAGGGCGGTGGGTCGTTGCCGGCCCTGGGATCGGTGGCTTGATGGTCTCCCGTGTGGTTTCCCGTGTGGTTTCCCGTGTGGTCTTCGCGTGGTCTCCCGCATGGTCTCCCGCATGGTCTCCCGCATGCTCTCCCGCGCGGTTCCCCGCATTCCCCAGGCAGTGCTTGGATTGCAAAAAAACCCTGGGGGAAGGATTGCAAAAAAACCCTGGATGTGCAAAAAAGGATTGCAAAAAAAACCCTGTTTTTTTGCAATCCTGTTTTTTTTGCAAACCCTGGGTTTTTTTCCCAAGCATCCTGTGGTGTTGGGTCCTCGTTTTGAAGAGACAGCGCCCCGCGTCCCACCTCCTCTCCTCCTCCTCCTCTCCTCCTCCTCTCCCTCCACACACCCCTCACACGTTTCGTGGCCCCATAGGGAGCTCCACCGAAGGCCCCATGCTGCCGTCCGCATGCGTCCCGCACACCCATTTCGGCACACCCCTCACACGTTTCGTGGCCCCATAGGGAGCTCCACCGAAGGCCCCAGTGCTGCCGTCCGCATGCGTCCCGCACACCCATTTCGGCACACCCCTCACACGTTTCGTGGCCCCATAGGGAGCTCCACCGAAGGCCCCATGGCTGCCGTCCGCATGCGTCCCGCACACCCATTTCGGCACACCCCTCACACGTTTCGTGGCCCCACAGGGAGCTCCACCGAAGGCCCCAGTGCTGCCGTCCGCATGCGTCCCGCACACCCATTTCGGCACACCCCTCACACGTTTCGTGGCCCCACAGGGAGCTCCACCGAAGGCCCCATGGCTGCCGTCCGCATGCGTCCCGCACACCCATTTCGGCACACCCCTCACACGTTTCGTGGCCCCACAGGGAGCTCCACCGAAGGCCCCAGTGCTGCCGTCCGCATGCGTCCCGCACACCCATTTCGGCACACCCCTCACACGTTTCGTGGCCCCATAGGGAGCTCCACCGAAGGCCCCAGGCTGCCGTCCGCATGCGTCCCGCACACCCATTCGGCACACCCCTCACACGTTTCGTGGCCCCATAGGGAGCTCCACCGAAGGCCCCATGCTGCCGTCCGCATGCGTCCCGCACACCCATTTCGGCACACCCCTCACACGTTTCGTGGCCCCATAGGGAGCTCCACCGAAGGCCCCATGGCTGCCGTCCGCATGCGTCCCGCACACCCATTTCGGCACACCCCTCACACGTTTCGTGGCCCCACAGGGAGCTCCACCGAAGGCCCCAGTGCTGCCACATGCGTCCCGCACACCCATTTCGGCACACCCCTCACACGTTTCGTGGCCCCAAGGGAGCTCCACCGAAGGCCCCATGGCTGCCGTCCGCATGCGTCCCGCACACCCCTCACACCCCATCACATTGCGTCGGCACACCCCTCACACGTTTCGTGGCCCCATAGGGAGCTCCACCGAAGGCCCCATGGCTGCCGTCCGCATGCGTCCCGCACACCCATTTCGGCACACCCCTCACACGTTTCGTGGCCCCACAGGGAGCTCCACCGAAGGCCCCAGTGCTGCCGTCCGCATGCGTCCCGCACACCCATTTCGGCACACCCCTCACACGTTTCGTGGCCCCATAGGGAGCTCCACCGAAGAAGATATTCACAATTGCGGTACTCTCAACTGCATATGGTTGGGTCCTTCGCCAGGCTAATTTGCAATCCCAATTGCAATCCAGGGTTTTTTTGCAATCCTGGGTTTTTCCCAACCATCCTGTGGTGTTGGGTCCTCGTTTTGAAGAGACGGTGCCCCGCGTTCCCTCCTCCTCCTCCCGCTGCCCCCTCCCTCCTGCCATCATCATCATCATCATCATCATCATCATCATCATCACCACATCATCCATCATCATCATCATCATCATCATCATCATCATCATCATCATCATCATCATCATCATCATCATCTCTTCCCTGCGTTTCACCCACCCAGTACAGCGTTTCGTAGCCCCATAGGAGCTCCCACGCGCAGGCCCCAGTACAGTGCCGCGCCCGCATGCGTCACCACACCCAATTCGGCACACCCCTCACACGTTTCGTGGCTCCATAGGGAGCTCCACCGAAGGCCCCAGTGCCCGCGCCCGCATGCGTCACCCACACCCATTTCGGCACACCCCTCACACGTTTCGTGGCTCCATAGGGAGCTCCACCGAAGGCCCCAGTGCCCGCGCCCGCATGCGTCACCCACACCCATTTCGGCACACCCCTCACACGTTTCGTGGCTCCATAGGGAGCTCCACCGAAGGCCCCAGTGCCCGCGCCCGCATGCGTCACCCACACCCATTTCGGCACACCCCTCACACGTTTCGTGGCTCCATAGGGAGCTCCGCCGAAGGCCCCAGTGCCCGCGCCCGCATGCGTCACCCACACCCATTTCGGCACACCCCTCACACGTTTCGTGGCTCCATAGGGAGCTCCACCGAAGGCCCCAGTGCCCGCGCCCGCATGCGTCACCCACACCCATTTCGGCACACCCCTCACAGAGCTCCCCACCGCATGCGTCCACAATTCGCACACACCCATTTCACACGTTTCGTGGCTCCATAGGAACTCCACCGAAGGCCCCAGTGCTGCCGCCCGCATGCGTCACCCACATCCAATTCGGCACACCCCTCACACGTTTCGTGGCCCCATAGGAGCTCCGCCGAAGGCCCCAGTGCTGCCGCCGGCATGCGTCACCCACACACAATTCGGCACACCCCTCACACGTTTCGTGGCCCCATAGTAGAAGCTCCGCCGAAGGCCCCAGTGCTGCCGCCGCATGCGTCACCCACACCCATTTCGGCACACCCCTCACACGTTTCGTGGCTCCATAGGGAGCTCCACCGAAGGCCCCAGTGCCCGCGCCCGCATGCGTCACCCACACCCATTTCGGCACACCCCTCACACGTTTCGTGGCTCCATAGGGAGCTCCACCGAAGGCCCCAGTGCCCGCGCCCGCATGCGTCACCCACACCCATTTCGGCACACCCCTCACACGTTTCGTGGCTCCATAGGGAGCTCCGCCGAAGGCCCCAGGCCCGCATGCGTGCCCGCGCAGCATGCGTCACACACCCATTTCGGCACGCCCCTCACGCGTTCCGTGGCCCCATAGGGAGCTCCGCCGAAGGTCCCAGTGGGTGTGCCCGCATGCGTCCCGCACACCCATTTCGGCACACCCCTCACACGTTTCGTGGCCCCATAGGGAGCTCCACCGAAGGCCCCAGTGGGTGTGCCCGCATGCGTCCCGCACACCCATTTCGGCACACCCCTCGTACGTTTCGTGGCCCCGTAGGGGGCTCCACCGACAAGATATTCACAATTGCAATATTCACAATTGCATATGGTTGGGTCCTTCGCCAGGATAATTTTGCAATCCTTCGGGTTTTTTGCAATCCTTTTTGCAATCCTTCGTGGGGGTTCTTTTTTACCTAACAGCGAAGACTGATAGGCTTCTAGTAGGGTCAAATGAGAGCATCATGACGCCCCAGGGGGGTCTGGGCGCGATCCGGGGGAGGATGCCGGGGACTCTTTTTTTAGCCAACAGTAACGCACTTCGTGGTCTTCGAGTTCCCAGAACTCCATTCCTGGGCATGATCTTGAATGCCCGGAGCCAACCGTAGGCCACTTCGTGTTCTTCGAGTTCCCAGAACTCCATTCCTGGGCATGATTTTGAATGCCCGGAGCCAACTGTAGGCCACTTCGTGTTCTTCGAGTTCCCAGATCTCCAATCCCAGGCCACATTTTGAATGCTGAGGCAGGCTGATGCTGAGGCTGAGGCAGGCTGAGACTGAAGCAGGCTGAGGCTGAGGCCGAGGCTGAAGGCAGACTGAGGCTGAGGCTGAAGCAGGCTGAGGCTGAGGCTGAGGCTGAGGCTGAGGCTGAGGCTGATGCAGGCTGAGGCTGAGGCAGGCTGAGGCTGAGGCCGAGGCTGCAGGCTGGCTGAGGCTGAGGCAGGCTGAGGCTGAGGCTGAAGGCTGAGGCTGAGGCAGGCTGAGGCTGAGGCTGAGGCTGAGGCTGAGGCTGAGGCTGAGGCAGGCTGAGGCTGAGGCTGAGGCTGAGGCTGCTGAGGCTGAGGCTGAGGCAGGCTGAGGCTGAGGCTGAGGCTGAGGCTGAGCTGAGGCTGAGGCTGAGGCAGGCTGAGGCTGAGGCTGAGGCAGGCTGATGCTGAGGCAGGCTGAGGCTGAGGCTGAGGCTGATGCAGGCTGAGGCTGAGGCAGGCTGAGGCTGAGGCCGAGGCTGAAGGCAGACTGAGGCTGAGGCTGAAGCAGGCTGAGGCTGAGGCTGAGGCAGGCTGAGGCTGAGGCAGGCTGAGGCTGAGGCTGAGGCAGGCTGAGGCTGAGGCTGTGACTGCGACTGCCGTTGCCACTGCGACTGTCATCGCGAATGCGACTACGACTGCGAGAACAGCAGAATTCTACAACTGGATTCTCATCTGAATCTTAAGGGGAATGCTTCCAGATATGCTCCTACACATCGCTGTTAGGTTGCTTTGCCGGGATAATTTCCTGGGAAGGGCCCTTTCTCAGGTTCCTCAGGATGTGTGTTGCACAAGCTCTCAGCATCATCGCAGTTGTCGCCTGAAGGCCATGTATCTCCATGCCAAACGCGCTCTTGGCAGTTTCTACAAACACGTATGTGTAGCCAACCAAAAAACACCCGGACCAGACAATTGGCGTTTACTAAACG